TTCCTTCCTTCCTTCCTTCCTTCCTTCCTTCCTTCCTTCCTTCCTCTCTCTCTCTTTCTCTCTCTCTTTCCTTCCTTCCTTCCTCCCTCTTTCTCTTTCTCTCTCTCTTTCCTTCCTTCCTTCTTTCCTTCCTTCTTTCCTTCCTTCCTTCTTTCTTTCTTTCTTTTTTTGTCAGTCATGGAGCCTGAACTCTGGGCCTAGGTGCTGTCCCTCAGTTCTTCAGCTCAAGGCTAGTGCTCTACCACTTGAACCACAGTGCCGATTCTGGCTCTTTTTTTCTGCTTATGTGTTGCTGAGGAATTGAACCTAGAGCTTCATGCATGCAAGGCAAGCATGCTACCACTGAGCCACCTTCCCAGCCCCCCCTTTTTTTCATTTGATGTGCAGAAACTTCTTAATCTGAGGTGACTAATCCCATTTGTCAATTCTTGCTTTTTTTCCTGATGAAAATCCTACTCAGAGAGTTATTGCCTATGCTTATTATCCCCAAGTATTTTGTGTCTTTTTTTCTTGTAGTAGTTTCAAAGTTTTAGGCTTTTTTTGGGGGGGGGTTGGTCGTGGGGCTTGAACTCTGGGCTTGAGCGCTATCCCTCAGCTCTTCAGCTCAAGGCGAGCCCTCTACTGCTTGAGCCACAGCTCCACTTCCAGTTTTCTAGTGGTTTATTGGAGATAAGAGTCTCACGGACTTTCCTTGCCTGGACTGGCTTTGAACGGTGATTCTCAGATCTCATCAGGTGTGAGCCACCAGCACCCAGCAAAGTTTTAGGCTTTATAGTAAGATTTTTTTTGGAGGGGTCGGTCATGGGTCTTGAACTATGGGTCTGGGTGCTGTCCCTGAGCTCTTCAGCTCAAAGTGAGCACTCAACCATTTGAGCCACAACACCACTTCTGGTTTTCTGGTGGTTAATTGGAGATAAGAGTCTCACAGACTTTCCTACCTGGGCTGGCTTTGAATTGAGATCCTCAGATCTTAGCCTCCTAAGTAGCTAGGATTACAGGTGTGAGCCTCTGGCACCCAGGTACTTTCAGATTTTTTAAAAATTTTTATTGTGAATATGCTATACAGAGGGGTTACAGTTACATGAGTAAGGTAATGAGTACATTTCTTGTGGAGCTTTGTTACCCCTCCTTTGTTTTTCTCCTACTATCCCTTCCCTCCTCTTCCTCCCCAACTCTGACCCACAAGTTGTAAAGTTCATTTCCAACATAGTGTCTTGTTAGTATCATTGTTGCAATGGGTCATCCTGTGTCCTTGTTTCAGCATTTTGTTATTCTCCTTCCCCTCTCCAAATTAAATAAATGTATATACAAGATTTAGGGTACCAAAATCAAATACAGTGACAACAGGGAATATACCATAGGGGGAAGAACATAGAAAAGAAACAAAAAAATCATATAGTACATTAAAAACAACAATAAAGGAAAAGCTCTTGTGTCCATATCTTGGGGTTCATTTCTCTTAGCATCATCTTGTATGGTCACATGTACAGAGCTTTTGAGCTTTTTTCCTCATCTGATAAGATTATCCTAGATGTATACTAATTACTGCAAGTAAGGGAAACCATGGGATCTATATTTCTTTGGGTCTAGCTTACTTCACTTAATATGATTTTTTTCCAAGTCTTTCCATTTCCTAACAAATGGGGCAGTGTCAATCTTTCTGATGGATGTATAGAATTCCATTGTATCTATATAACACATTTTCTTAATAAAGACCCAGAAATACAACAAATCAAAGAAAGGTTGGACAAATGAGATTGCATTAAACTGCAGAGCTTCTGCATGGCAAAGGACATAGCAAGCAAGATCCATAGAAAGCCCACAGATTGGGAGAAGATCTTCACTAGCCATAGAACAGACAAGGGCCTCATATCTAAAATATACTTAGAACTCAAAAATTATATCCCCCCAAAACAAATCCTCAAAGAAACAACTTCCCTCTTAATAAAGTGGGCTAAAGACGTAAAGAGAGACTTCTCTGAAGAGGAAATAAGAATGGCCAACCAACAGAAGAAATACTCAACTTCTCTGGCCATAAAAGAAATGCAAATCAAAACAACATGGAGATTCCACCTCATCCTGGTGAGAATGGCTATAAACAAGAAATCTAATAATAACAGATGCTAGAGGGGATGTGGCCAGAAGGGAACTCTACTGCACTGTTGGTAGGAGTGTAAACTTGTTCAACCACTCTGGAAAGCAGTATGGAGGTTCCTCAAAAGACTCCACATAGAGCTCCCCTATGACACAGCAATCCTACTTTTGGGCTTTTACCCCAATGATTACAAACAAGGCCATACTAAAGCTACCAACACAACTATGTTTATTACAGCATTGTTCACTACATTAAGATCTTTGATCCAAAGCTAGGTACTGGTGGCACACATCTGTAATCCTAGCTACTCAGGAAGCTGAGATCTGAGGATTGTGATTTGAAGCCAGTCTGGGCAGAAAAATCCACAAGACTCTTATCTCCAATACTCAGAAATATCTGTAAGTGGTACTGTGGCTCAAGTGGTAGAGCATTAGCCTTGAGCACAAAGAGACGCTGAGACAGCATCTAGGCTCTGAATTCAAGCCCAAGGACAACCCCTTGCTCCCAAAGATCTTCGATCCAATTTGATTTTTGTGCATGGTGAGAGATAGCAGTCTAGTTTTAGTCTTCTACATATGGAAATTCTGTTTTCCCTGAAACATTTGTTGCAAATGCTATCTTTTCTTCAATCTATGCTTTTGGTTCCTTTGTCAAAGATCTGATGGTTGTAACTATGTGGGTTTATTTCTGGGTCTTCTATTCCATTGGTCTACAGGTCTATTTTTGTTCCAGTATCATGTTGTTTTTTGTTACTATGACTCTAATAAAATTTAAAATCAAATTTGAGAGAAAAAATACTAGTAGAGGCAGAGGAGAATTTGTGAGGAAGATAGAAAGCAGTTGTAAAGTTTGTGGCCACTCTGTATTTAACTACTTGGGCAGGCAGAATCTCTCCTGCTATATAAATACGTAACACTGGCTACATTAGTAAGACTTTTCTTCCTCCTCCCCCCTCCTACTACTCCCCTCACTTTCTCTTCCTTCTGCAAAACTGGGGCTTGAGCTCAGGGCCTCATGCTGTTAATCTGTTGCAATACAACCAAGCCATGCTTCTGGCTCTGTTTTTTGCTGGTTATTTTTAGGATAAAATCTTGCTTCCCACCTAGGAGAGTCACTTGGCTCTCAGCTAATTCAACATGAGAATGGAAGATGAACCATGTGTCTCATTAAGAAGGAAGTCTTAGAGTGGAAAGAAGTGGTGGGGCCCTGGCCACATTCTCTCAGAAACGTGGAAGGCTGTTTGGTGAAACCAGATGTTAGGGATGAAAGCAAGGGAGCAGGTCTGGGCGTGATGGGGGCTGTGTGTTTTCTACTTCAGATGTCCCCATTTCTCAGTCACTTTCCCCCTATCCCTCTGCTACAGTGAAAGTATCTCAAGGCCAGGAGCCCAGGGCTCCAGACTGCCATCAGGATGGTGGGTGAAAGTCCGTACCTCATCTCAGATCTGGACCGGAGAGGCCAGCGGAGATCCTTTGTAGAAAGATATGATCCCAGCCTGAAGACCATGATTCCAGTACGACCCTATGCAAGGTGAGTCAGGAGATCTGAAGGGGGACTCAAGGCAGGACTTACAGGGATAATTTCCAGCCTATGAACAAAATGAGCACTGTCTTTGCTTCTTATGTGCTGTCCTAGATGTTTGTCCTTTTTTCCATTTTCTCATCTACACATTCATTCATTTATGGACCACTGACTTACCTCTTTTGGTCCTTTGGAGAGGGAAGCAATAGAAAATGTTAAGGAAGAACTTTCCCTGTGCTAAGATTTGTCCAGATGCTTTACAAGCACCTCAGTCATGTTTTACATTCACCCTGGAGGTATGGCTACTGTCTTTATGTGGGAAGGGAGAAAACTGAGACACAGAGATATTAAGTAACTTGCCTAAAGATTTTCTTTCTAACCAATTGCCTCAACACCTAGCAGCTTAAAATATTTTCCACTCATTTATCTTACAATTTTGTAGGCAAGCCATTAAAAAAAATAAGCAACAAGGGCTGAAATAGTGTGATCAGTGCATCTGGTCTTGACCAGGCTCACTCATATATCTGTTGCTTTGTTTGTTGGGACATGGAGACAGCTGAACTTCCAACAGGATAGCTTAGCCTTGATCACACAGGGATATGGTAGGCTTTTGAGAGAGCAAATGGAAGGATATAGGGCGTCTAGACACAGGCTGACACCTTCCGACTGCTTTCCCCTCTGCACTGTGTTGGCTAATACAAGTTGCAAGTTAATTGGATTCAGAATGTGGGGAAATAGAATCCACCTCTGGCTGGATGCAACACCACATTAGAAGGGACTGAGATACAGATGGGGAGGAGAAGGGATCAGCTTTGAACTCCAAGATCAGAACTCAGGTAACCTGATTTCCAAGATCCTATGGTCAACATTTCAGTGTATGCTGTTATATTTGTGCTAGCAATAACATCATTATAAAATGTTGCCTTTGTCTACATTGAAATGATAACAGTGCTTGTTCTCTGAGCATCAGAAGAACAAATTGCATCTCTATAGTGAGTGACATTGCACTACCCTCTCCCAGCCTTTCTTGATCAACGCCTACATCTGACCCAGGAAGGTGAGGGGTGAAGACTGAAAGGCAAGGGTTTGGGTTCTTGTCCTTAGCCCCAGGAGAGCTCTAACTACAATAGTTACAGTTAGGATTAAAATTGCTTTGTAAAGAGCAAATGGTGGGGCCCTGGAGTCAACCAGCAGTTGGTCTGGATTATGTTCCACCACTTAGGGTAAGTGCCCTACCCGCCCTGTGCTTCCATGGTTGTGTCTGTGAGATGGAGTCAGAACTTCACCCTGCTATCTATCTGACTGAGGTTGCTATGAGGAGTACGTGAAAGCTACCTTTTAGGAAACTTTGGCTATTTGCTGCCTGGTTAGTGTTAACTCAGGTTCTCTCAAAAGCCTGAATGCTGTAAGCTTATCTGGAAAATGACTTCCAAGAAGTGCATGTGCATGTATGTATGTGTATGCACGCATGTGTGTGTGTGTGTGTGTGTGTGTGTGTGTGTGTGTGTGTGTGTGTAGATTTTCAAAGAGTGAGGCAGGGAAGGAGGAAAAAGTAACACAGTATGTGTTACTGCTATGGTTATGGAGCTTCGTACTCTACAAAATCCTCCTACAAAGTGTTCAACTTTCCATCCAAAGTTTGGAGTGAGTCAGGGGCATTTATCCATGCTCATATTTCTATAGACACCCCTAGTCCATGTGCAATGTCTCCTACCTATGGCAATTCTGGCTGTATTTTATTTTCAAGAGGATCCCGAAACAGATGGTAGAAAGAGATGCGGCATATATTGAGGCAGGACACTTACATGAAACCGTTCTCCACAGCCAAGAGGTAGAGGGAGGTGAGGGCACCTGTATGGCATCTGCCACCAATACAGAGCTCTCACATTTGGAATATTATAAATGCTTGGTAACAGGTAGATGTTACTCTGTGTCTTTGACTTTTATTTTTTATTCTGTCTTGGATGGCTAATGCCTCCAGGGCAAAGCCATTGTCTTGTCTTTGTTCTTCCTTTTCCTTTCTTTCCTCTTCCCTCCTCTTTTTTCTTCCTTCTCCCTTCCTTCCTTCCCATCTTCTTGTGTCTCTTCCTTCTTCTCTTCCTCTTCAGCTTCATTCTTCTCTTCTTCTTCTTCCTCTCTTATACTCTCTCTTTTTTTTTTTTTTGCCAGTCATGGGGCCTGAACTCTGGGCCTGGGTATTGTCCCTCAGCTCTTCAGCTCAAGGCTAGTGCTCTACCACTTGAGCCACAGTGCCACTTCCAGCTTTTTTCTGCTTATGTGGTGCTGAGGAATTGAACCCAGGGCCTCATGCATGCAAGGCAAGCACTCTACCACTGAGCCACCTTCCCAGCCCCATCTCTCTTATACTCTTCCTCTTCCTCCCACCTTATCTCCCTCCCTATCTCCCTCCCTCCCTTCCTCCCTTCCTTCCTTCCTTCCTTCTTTCCTTCCTTCCTTCCTTCCTTCCTTTTTCCTCTCTGTCTGTCTGTTCTCTCTCTCTCTCTCTCTCTCTCTCTCTCTCTCAGCATTATGGAGGTTAACCTTAGGGCCTCACACTTGCTAGGCAAGTGCTCTACCAGTTGAGCCATGATCCTAGTCATCCTTCATTTCCCCTTTTTTCTCTTCTTTCTTTCCCTTCCCCTTTCCATTCCTTATCTTCCTCCTTTGTCTGGCAGCTAATATTTATGTAGCACTTTATATATGCTAATCCACTCATTCTTCATAATTAACTCATAACAAGCAGAAGATACAGACCTGACCCTTCCGATGGTTAGCTACTAGATCTCCAGTTTTGAGGAGATACACAGTAGCACATAATTCTAGAATATAGTACATGATAAATGGTGTTGGTAATATTACAAGAACAGAAGGTAGTAAAATAATTAGGAAATGATGAATTTTCAGTATGATAACTTTTGTCTTTAAGACAATTTATTTAGATTTCTAAAGAAGTACAGCTGGTTGTCATGAGCTGGAACGAGCCAGCCTTCACACACCATTGCAAAGGGCTGGGGAATGTGAGTACCAGGTTCTGCCTGTGGCTATGGTTGTTACCATGTTTACAAGGTTAAGCTGGGAGTCAGGGAAATAACCCCAATACCCATCCTCTGTAGACTGGCATCCAACCCAGTGGATGATGCAGGCTTGCTGTCCTTTGCCACATATTCCTGGCTTACACCGGTGATGCAGAGAAGCTACAAGAGCACACTCACTGTGGACACCCTGCCCCCACTGTCACCTTATGACTCATCTGACACCAATGCCAAAAGGTACGGGCTTCACTTGGTTACCTGGGGAGGCAAACCCACCTTAGTAAGGGGTCCAGTCATGTGGAAATTGGCTCAGGCTATTATATAATGTTACATGAACGTTACTTGCTTTGCCTGGTGACAGTTGGATCTTACCCACACTGTTGCGTGCAGCTCTAGCTGTCTTTTCTTGTTCTGTTTAAGAATGGTTACTGCTTAGCACTGGTAGCTCATACTTGTAATCCTAGCTACTCATAATCTAAGGAGTATGGTTAGCAAAAAGCCAGAAGTGGAGCTATGGCTCACGTGGTAGAGTTCCAGCCTTGAGTAAAAAAAACAAACAAGAATGAGAGGTCTTGGGCTGGAAAGGTGGCTCAGTGGTAGAGTGCTTGCCTTGCATGCATGAGGTCCTGGGTTCGATTCCTCAGCACCACATAAGCTGAAAAAGCTGGGAGTGGCGCTGTGGCTCAAGTGGTAGAGTGCTAGCCTTGACTGAGGGACAGCACCCAGCCCAGAGTTCAGGCCCCACGACCCCAAAAAAAAAAAAAAAAAAAAAAAAGAATGAGAGGTCTTGAAGAATAAGAGATCCCCAGTGCTACTACTACTACTACCACACACACACATGCGCGCACACACACACACACACACACACACACACACACACACCCCAAAAGAATGGTTACTGGACTTCTATACTACAAAATATATTTAGGTTGAATAGAAACTGACCATGTTTGCTGATTTTAACTAGTTAAAATGCAAATGTCATTGGTCCAATTGAATCCATTATAATAATGTCAAAGCAACATAATTTGAATAGTGGAAGTATTTGTACCATATTTCTATTCTATTATCCAGAGTTAAATACTGTTAACATATTGATGTGGTCCTGTTTGGAAATTCTTTTTTTTTCCTGCCAGTCTTGGGACTTGAACATAGAGCCTGGGCACTGTCCCTGAGCTTCTTTTTATTAAGACTAATGCTCTAACACTTGAGCCACAGTGCCACTTCTGTTTTTTTCTGTGTATGTGGTACTGAGGAATCGAACCCATGGAGGGCTTCATGTATATTAGGCAAGTATTCTACCACTAAGCCACATTCCTAGCCTTTGTTTGGAATTTGATTAAACACACCTTCCCTGTTGTCTTCTGTGGAAAAAGGCCCATTTTTCTGCTTATCTGTACTTTTCACATTTAAAGATTTTTTTTTAAAACCTACAGTTGTCAATCATTTTGCTCTTTTCAGTTAAAGTTTATAAAGACTTGTCCATGTCTACACAAAGATATTAACTCCTTTAGTTCTAATAGCAGCACTAAACACTGTGGTACTGATGATCCAGAACATCTTAAACAAGGGGTAAATTCTCAAAGCCCCTGTATTCATTTCTCCTGGAAGTTGCCCTACCTTGGACACATGAGGTAAATTTATGGAACAGCCAAGAGCTAAATACTAGAGGGCTGGGAGTATTAGTTGTAGCTTTCCAGTTACTTCTGGATTATATAGAATTTAGAATCAAAATTATTTAGCGTTTTTTAGAAGACAAAATAGAGATTCTAGAGTCTGCTTTTTTTTCTTTAAATTGTTAAATAGAGATTTTAGAATCTTTAAAGAAATTGTTGCTGGTGTCAGTGCTTATAATCTATAGCCTGGAGAAACATTAAGATTTATGTGCTGGACCAATAGCTGAGGATTACCAGATTTTCCTTCTAACTCTTGCCAGTATTATTCCATCTGTGGTTATTGTTTTCTTTCAGACCCAACACAAATTTAGGTCTTCTTCTCACTTGTGATAGTCTCTGTTCTTAGGTGATTCTACCCACTCCGAGGGCTTAAAGAGCAAACATGTGCTACTCAATGACATGCCATTTCCAGCCCAGGTCTATCTTCCAGATTCTGAGTCTGCACATCCAGCAGAATCCAGATAGTAACACCTGGATGCCTCATATACATTTATGTCTAGAGCTGTTATTGTCTGTGTGCAAATGGGCGTGCACTGGGGATCAAACCCAGGGCCTCAGGCATACTAGGCAAACACTGAAACATGTAGTCTCAGCCTGACCATTCTCTCCTCTTTTTCTTTTGTCTGTCTCTTTGAATAGTCAAGCCCCAAAACTTCAATTCCTCCTCCTCCTTCTTTCCCACAACTAATCCATTGGGAAGTCTTGTCATCGCTCCTGCCAACCTGTCTTTGAAACCTTATCTGCCACCACTGCTATCTCTTACCTGGAGGCCAACAACTTCTCACTGTTGCCCGTTGTTCCCTCATATGTTCCCTCATACTCCACCATGCTCATAAGGCAAAGGGATCTTTCAGATATGTGAAATGATCTTGACATATGGGCTTAAAACCCATAATGGTTTCCTTTGTATTTGGAATGAAATCTGTGCTTCCTCCTAAGGCCCTATAAGATTTGACCTGGTCTTTTAGTGTCTTTTCATCCTCTTTACACAAACACTGTTCTTTTTTAAACTTTTTTAAATGGACAGTCTTTTTTGGGTGTGTGCTGGTACTGGGGCTTGAACTCAGGTTTTTTTTGGAAGCCTGGCACTCTACCACATGAGCCATACCTTTCAGCCTTTTACTGGTTAGTTGGACATAAGAGTCTTAGATTTATCTGCCTGTGCTGGCTTTGAACCCCGATCCTCATATCTTAACTTCCTGAGTAGCTAGAACTGCATGCATGAGCAACCAGCCCCTGGTATGGACAGCCTTCTTTACCCATGGAAAAGACCTGTTAGAGCTGATGTTGATGCCAATAGGCAGAGGAAAGAAAGGTCTGGAAAGCGTCTCAGCACCATATATTCAGGTTCATACCAGTTTGTGCCTAGGCAATGCTGCCTCAGCTCTTGGACAAGGACTGTGTTCATACACTCTTGCAAGCTTCAAACAGTAGGCCCTCCTTGTTTTCTTCCTTTCTTTCACTGCAGATTTCGAGTCCTTTGGGATGAGGAGATAGAAAAGGTGGGTGCTGAGAAGGCCTCTCTGTGCCGAGTGGCCTGGAAATTCCAGAGGACACGTGTGCTGATGGATGTCGTAGCCAATATCCTCTGCATCGTCATGGCAGCCCTTGGGCCAGTGAGTAGGGATGGCCCCCTCTCCTGCCTTTCCTCTAGGTCCCCAGCTGTGCAAAATGTGCTATTAGCTACTTTCTCTACGAGCTATTGGGTTTAGTGCATTGTCATTATCTTTGTGCTCCTGGTGCGGGGGGTGAATTTTCATAAAATGAATCCTTGTCAGGCACAGCAGCAGCTACTGAAATTAATTAAAAAGTTGGCCTCAGAAAAGTCAGCTTGCTGACATTATTCAAGGCCTCTTATGCCAACTTCCCCTTCAGTGGCCCTCTTCTCTCTCTCTGTGTTGTGCTATTTTACAGACAGTTCTCATTCACCAGATCCTCAAGTACACTGAGAGTAACTCTGGGAAAATCTGGGTTGGCATCAGTCTGTGCCTAGCCCTTTTTGCCACTGAGTTTACCAAAGTCCTCTTTTGGGCGCTTGCCTGGGCCATAAATTACCGCACAGCCATCCGGTTGAAGGTGGCCCTCTCCACTTTGATTTTCGAAAACCTGGTGTCCTTCAAGACATTGGCACACATCTCTGCTGGAGAGGTAAGCTGGTCCAGAAGGAATTTAACATTTGGAACTCAATCCTGGTGTTCTGAATATGTGAAATGTATTTCCTGGGTGGAGTACCTGCCTTCCTTTGCTTGTCATGTCCTGTCTATCCTGTCCCATTTCTCTGCTAAGGAGGTAGGTGGTGGGGACTTGAAACTACAGAGACAGTCAGAGCCTGGGAGACTTTGGAACAGCTTCCTGATTCCAGTTGGGATGGAGCTCAGGGCTGATTTTATCCAATCCCTTTGTCAATGAACAGGGGAGCAGCACAGAACACACTGTAGGTATTTATAAAACTGACTGACTAGCTGGGCATGGTGGCACTTGCTTGAAGTTCCAACATTTAGGAGGCTGAGGCAGGAGGATGTTAAGTTTGGGGCCAACCTGGGCTACATTGTGAGACCATGGTTGTTTTTTTTTTGTTGTTGTTGTTGTTTTTTAAGTCAATTGATGAATCCAGTAATTCCAGTTGTGTAACATTTGGGTTTCAAAGCCATCAGCAAAAGCATGCCTGTTATATTTCAGAATTGACATTTTCTTTTCTTTCTTTTTTTTTTTTTGGGTCCGGTCATGGGGCCTGAACTCTGGGCCTGGGCGCTGTCCCTCAGCTCTTCAGCTCAAGGCTAGCACTGTACCACTTGAGCCACAGCGC